ACCTAACCTATCTAAGGTTTCTTGGATATTAGGTAACGGGTAAACGTCTTTGACAGTTACTCCGTTCACTTTACCAAAATCTACACAGAACCTTAATTTTCCGTCCTTTTTATGAACTAATACAACCGGAGATGCGTACGGACTACTACTGTCCTCTATCACACCTTGTTCAAGCATCTCTTTTACACATTCTTTTAATTCAACCCTATGTTTCTCGGGTACTCTATAAGGTCTCTGTGCTATAGGTTTATTATTGTTTAACACTATCTTATGTTTAACATTGTTTGTACTACTTTAGGATCATTTACTCCTACAAATATATCTCGATATTCTTCTAACAAGTTTATCAAACTGTGTTTATGTTTTCGTTCTATATTTCCTAAGATAGGAATCCCAGTCTATCCTACTTTGTTATGCCTGTTTATTATTATTATTAAAGTTATACTGTCCTACCACAGCTAACTGTTCTCTACTACTAGCCTTACCTACTACTATGTTCTTAGGTAGTATTATTTTTCTTTTATATTATATTTATAATATAATATTTGTTTTATATTTAACACTTTTACTGGCACTGTGTTTCTTTTAAACACTTTACTAATACTAGCAGCTATATAAACTCCCGTTTCTTCTATTTCGATAGGCTCAACTAACACTTCTTCATTTACTTAAAGCCATTTACTTTAGCTTCAACTATGAATTGACTTCTCGCAGGTACTTCAGTTATTTTAACTAACCTTACAGGAACTCTTTCTTTCAAACACTCCTGTTGGGATGATCTGTTGCTTATGTTAGGCATAAGTGTAGAGTCATCTGAGGGATTTGAATTATTATTTTCCTGTTTTAAAGACTTATTCATTAACTTATTCTGCCTTATCTTACTATTACTCACCTTATCTTTATGACTTCTGCTAGGTTTAGCGTTTTTCTGTGCAGTCCTATTCCTTGGCTTTCTTTTAGAACTTTTTTTAAGTACACTTCTTATTCTTACTCCTCCGACTTTGTCGTGTGTCACTACACTTTAATAAGAAGTCAGTGCTTTCGTATTTTGACGACTGATCCTTAGCCTCGCTAGTACTAGCGTTAGGTGTCTGACTATTAGTCAGCGGGAAGGTATCATATGTCGCAACTGTTGCACATAAGTTTGAAGGTTCAAGTCCTTCAAAACTTAAGACCTCTGTTTCTATGCGTAGCTTACTTTGGGTAAAAGATATTTCAGAAGATTTCTTAAGAACTTACGACAGACTTAGATACAGATGGTATTATAGGGCAAGTTAGCTCTAGTTTCCTACTTTTAATTGCATATTGCACCTACCTAACATTTTAACAGGGTGTCCTGTTATAGACATTAAAATACTTCTGGAAACTTCTTTCCAAGCATTATCTAATAATATCGGTTCTATCTACTAGTTC